TAATAGCTCAGAGGACAATTACATCAGCACGAGTAACTACAAAGACACAAAAATAACTAAAAAACAAAATTCAAAATAAGACAGACTCTATAATGGTAATAAATTAATAATAATTCCAAGAAAAAATAAAGTTAGCATTAATAGGTGAGATAAAAATAAAACAAATACATCGTAGAAAGACACAAAATTAACTAAAAAACAAACTGCAAAATAAGCCTGCATAATGGAAATAAATTAATAATTCAATTAATTTCTAGATCGCTTGCCAACAACCTGTGTGCAAACACTGAAATACGTAACAAATTAAAGGACGTGTAAAAATAAAATGAGCAATAGATAACGGCATTAACCAGAAATATGGAAGGAAATGTATTCTCCAGAGAAATATAAAGAAACTGACATATGTTGTTAGCAGCGCTGACACACCTGGCTGAAGGACTGCACACTGAGCTGTCGCTTATTTTAGAAAGGGGAAGCCCAGAACTAATATGAAGTACTTGAAGACTAACAGTATCCATGACAGAATGACAGTCTATTGTCCCTTTATAAAAATGAAAAATGAAAAAACCGTCAAGATGCTGTGGTCTATAGTAAAGTGTTCTATATTTTAAACATTCTAAAATCAGGTCACAATCGCTAGGAAAACCAAACTGGTCAAGTAGACTATAATATTAATTTGCAAATTTTTTCGCATAAATTCAAGTTTGTTATAATCTGCGAGTTTTAGGTTATTCCAGGCGTTTGAGGTANGTCCTTGTATGTTTTCCAGCTTATCAGAATCTGCTGAAATAAGGTTATTCCAGACGGCAGACGCGTACTCAAGTTTGAAAGAATTAAGGTGATATAAAACTTTTAGACTAGCCAAAGAAGAAAAATTATATGTGATGAGTCCAGTTAGTCCTAGCAGCTTTAGTGCCTGAGAATGTAAGGGGTCAACATGACGATGAAAATGCAGTTTCCTATCTAACATAACCCCAAGATCTTTTACACAGTCAGTTCGTACGTCAATACATCACCAAGAAAGTAATTAAATTGGATACTGCTGGTTTTACTAGTAAAATGAATCACATCTCTTTTGAATATTCTAAATTTCATATAATTCTCAATGCATCACCCCTGTACAGAGTCTGTATCGGATTGTAGTAATTCACAATCGTCGGAAGATTTTATGACACAAAATATTTATGAATCATCAGCAAAGAATAGAAATCGGGAAAAATGAATTTCTGGCGCATAGATCGTTAGTAAAAATATTGCAGAGCGGAAGTCCCAAAGTGGAACCTTGTGGCACTCCTGACAGCAGGGAAATTGTGAACAAGAGTTCCCTGGGTTCAAACAACAAAAAACTATATTAATAACAGATGTTCCTGCAAAGTCTCTGTGAGCCACACAAAACTATTAAGACCAAATGGAAGCAATTTATTTTACGAGATGAGATGTGTTACGTTCTTACATAAAACAGATCGAGAGTTCCCAATGTGCATTTGTTTGTACAACGTCCTTATTAAATATGTAGGCAGAGAAATGGCCATTCAGAGCAGAAGTTCTCAACTCACGATTCCAGGACCACAGGCAGCACGCCGATATATTTTTGTGGTTCAAAAGCACATTTTTAAAAAACGTTGCATCATTCTCTATATTGAGAAATACGTGTAGTTACTGCTTATAATAAGTACACTTAATTTGAAGTGATTAAGCAGTGCCAAATCAGTCTAAATTAACTTCATTAGCAGAGGCCTTCAGTAGAAGTAGAAAGTCGTTCGGTTAGTCACGAAACTTTCTGCCTTTCATGCAGCCCGAAGATATTGTCACGTATAAGGGGTAGGCGTGACTAATAATTGTGGGTTCTGGATTTGATAACTGCATTTATCTGACATTTCTGTTACAATTACAGTTGATTAGAACAGCTCACACATTGAATTCCTTCTTCATGACGAATCTTTCACTGTATATCCTCTGGTTCTCGGACTGGTCCCTAGTATCTAGTCTTCTGCTGCTCAGTACCACTGGCTCCAGCGAATCAACCACTTGCCATTTTATGCCCTGGTGCGGACCGCAGACAGAACACGTACTTGAACTGTTCGTCTGTTGTTATATGCGTGTTTAGCAAGTTGCTGCCTGGTAACGACTCGTTCGTGCTATCTGTTGTAACAGAAACCTAGACGTTGCTCATCAAAGGACGTCTGGCTCTGCTTCCACTATTCCGGCTTTCAGCCATCACGTCACAGTATATAACCATGCTAGAACCTTTTGTCTTCTCGTCTGCTGTCCAAAAACATAAAAATTAGAATATACAAAACTATAATTTTGCCTGTGGTTGTGCATGGGTGTGAAACCTGGTCTCTGAAATTAAGGGAGGAACGTAGACTGAGGGTGTTTGAGAACAGGGTGTTGAGGAGAATATTTGGACCGAAGAGAGATGAAGTGACAGGAGGTTGGAGAAAACTGCACAATGATAGCTTCATAACTTGTACTCTTCTCCAAGTATAATTAGAATGATCAAGTCAAGGAGGTTGAGGTGGGCAGGGCATGTAGCACGAATGGGGGAGACGAGAAATGCATATAGGAAATTGATGGGAAAGACAGAAGGAAAGAGACTACTGGGGAGACCAAGGTGTAGGTGGGTGGACAGTATTAAAATGGAACTTAGAGAGATAGGATGGGGTGGTATGGATTGAATTGATCTGGCTCAGGATAGGGACCAGTGGAGGGCTCTTATGAACACGGTAATGAACCTTGGGGTTCCATAAAATGCTGGGGAATTCTTGAGTAGCTGCAGATTTGGCGGCTTCTCAAGAAGGGCTCAGCTCCATGAGTAAGTAAGTAAGTAACAATAGACCGCCACTGGCATGTATCGAGCAACAAAAAAACAAGACAAATCAAGACATTTGTTTAAGAGAACAGTTGAATGACGGATCTGTGAGAAACTGTATGTATGCGATATGTAGGCCTACTTAATAAGTTTCAGGCATTTTTGACAAATTGCCACGTAATTTCAAAAAACTTTCATCATTTATAAGTCTGGGGCCAGCAAGTCCGTAAGAAGTGCTGAGGATATGGCCACAAAGTTATAGAACCGCTGTTCTGGTGTGTTTTCAAGGTGCTTCATAACGACCGTATTAATTTTATGCTCGGCTTTTTATAAGAGCGGTACAAGTCGGTTTATCGCACTTTCCATTTGTCACAAGAAAGAAGTGGACTTGTTCTAACGCAGCTTAACTGATGTGTCTGTAGATCCCGCATTCCGCCCAAGGCACAAATGTCCTTCCACTCTAAAAGAGGCAACATTCGAAAGATTGTGCTCCGTGATATAAAAGTAAAATAAGTAAAGTAAAGCTATCCCTGTAACAGGCAGTGGAGGCCCATAGGGTTGTGAGATGTTGAGGTTCCCACATTTTGTCTAGACAATCGACACATAGATGGCGGTAAGGTTGTCAGCCCTACGCGCCGGTCGCCCTTTACCCCCAGGAAGGTTTCTGGCACTCATTTCTGTTAGATGCTGAGTCGACCCCAGGGCCATAGTGCGTCTGGAAGGATTAGGTCAATTGAAAAATCCAGTGATCTCATCGGGACTTGAAGCCGCGACTTTCCTGCTTGTAGCATACTGCCTCAACGAACTACGCTACCGCGTGTCTCCGTACTCCATGATATAGGACACAAAACTTCTCTGACTTTCATCTGGTTTGTTTATAGAACTGACTAACGCAGGGGTTCTCAATCATTTACTGCCTATATTTTCTTTGGCAGACCATCTGAATATTAAAAGAAACATTTTAAGAATTTTTAATAGAATGAGATCAGAACTTAGTCAAAATTATGTCCCCACGACTTTTGAAATAAAAGTAATATAAAGATTATGTCGTGAGAAGCATGTTTTTTTGTGCATAAATACAATACCTTGAAGACGGACCACTGCGGTCCGAGGACCATGATTTTATGAAGTTTTGTAGTAACGGTTTGTGATGAACCGCCATTTATGACCTTAAGAAATTATGACCACTTTATTATGGGTCCGTATGGCTAAAAGTCGGAATTATCCAACAAATTTCAAAGAGTGTCTCATATCAAATTTTAAAACAGTCTTTCCGGCGTCTTGGGCTCCGTTACCAAGTTAAAGTGAGACAGAGGAACAGACGGTGGCAGGGTGTTCCTTTTTATTTCTTAGTGAGACTGAGTCCCTTGTACTGCGGCCACTTCTGGCCTATTGTACCAGTCCCAGATGATAGGTGAGGGTGATTGTGAAGCAACTGGTGGAATGAAGATTGGCAGGGGAAATCGAAGTACTCGGAGAAAACCTACCCCAGTGCCACTTTGTCCACCACAAATCCCACTTGACGGGCCGCCGCGGTGGGTGGCCAGCGCCTAACCGCTTGAGCTATGGCGCGGCCTTTCCTTTTTTACTTTATCCAGAACGCCTAAAACTGTTTGCATAACACAGTCTCCTTAAGTAGAGCAGAACTTCCTGGAATCAATCCCTTTTTCTGTAAGCAATTTGTCGTATGATGTGCAATTACAAATTTATTTCTAAATTTAAATTACGGTATGCATCTACAATTGTATGCGTCCTAGAAGGGCCTCGGGTGGAATTCTGATGAGAGTAACTTATGCAGTGATTTTCTGTAAATTTCCTGTCGCAATTTCAGGTAACAGGTTCCTTTTATACCAAAATTTTAGAAGTTCGTCCTCGTCACGTGGAAACAGAAAGAATCATAACTCATCATGGAGATCAACGCCCTGGAGAGAAATTGTGTGGATAATTAAATAAATGAATTAAATACTTAAAAAAGGATGTTTAGTCATAATCCCAAATTATTTATTCACTAAGTCCTTGTGTGCTATGAACCCTGTTGCTTAGTTGTGCTAGGTTATTCCACAGACCAACATGATTCTGATCTAAAGTCAAATACAAAGGCTTGGAAATTTATCTAGTGTAGAGCCTTTTATGTCGTCACCTTTGGTAGTCAATAGACAGTGAAGCAAATTACTGAAAGCATATGAGAACTAGAAAATATTGTCAAATTATGTAGTTAAGTGTGAGAACGCATACTACAGAAATGATCCTGTTAAGTACGACTCTGTAAGTTGCGGTTTGTGTTTCAGTAGAGAAGATGGCAAAAATTAAGATCTAACAGTTTGTGACAATATAATTATTGTGTTTTTAGACGTCATCCATCTCCCTGTTTTTTATTTAAAACAACGTTTCGGAGACTGAATTCTGTCGCCATCTTCGGGTAAAAAAACCTACTCAGTTTGACCGTTCGACAGATAGATACTAGCTCTATCGAATGGGCCCAACTGAGTAGGTTTTTACCTGAAGACGGAGACAGAATCCTGTCTCAGAAACGATGATTTAAATAATAACAGGATGACGAATAATATCCAAAAACAAAACAATTGTACTGCAGCATTACTTCTTACAACAGTGTAAGAGAAAAATGGAACTCTTTAATATAGACCATGCATTCTGTAAAATTTTACAATTTATCAGACGGCCTTAAATTATAAAAATATACAGAACTTATTAACGTATTGTAACAGATTTGATCAACGCGTTGCCAGGCAACAATTTTGTAAACACGGTCCAACACGCCACAATAGAGGAAGCTGTGTTTTCTGTAGACCCAACCGACGCGCCAATAGACTGACTGGATAGCGATCACGTGATATGTTTACTGTAGCTTCATGTCCGTGCCGCGGCTATATAACGAGAGCCGCGAGCTGTTAAGTTCAGAGCTAATTGGAACTAAGGGTACAGAAGAGTACAAGAAGTCAGCCTGTTAAGACTTAGCGTGTGATTTGAGGGTTTTATGTGTACTGTAGTGCAGTGGTATTTGGAGTGTGTGATTTAGGTCCGTGCTATACATCCGTGGAGACTAGTGTAGATAGACTAAAGAGAGTAGCATGGAGTACTTTGTAGTGTTAAGTCAGTGAAACGGTTATAATTAATTGTAGTTACAACTAGAAAATAGTCAATAAATCCAATTACCAGTCCGAACCCCGTCTTTAGCCATTGATACACGTGACAGTATTTTGTATCTGAGGTTAAGTTAAGCAGCTTTCAGATACTGGAAATCTTTAGTTCGGAAATATTCCTCACAGGTAGATCACATAGTCATGCAAGTATCAGTTTCGCAGGCACTACATAGATGGAAGCACTTAAACGAAAACACATACCATAATCTCTTCCCAGACTTCTTGTTGTTTCTTAAGGTGCCTCCGGAACTGGCCGAATCCTTCCGCCAAATTCTGAAAAGCAGAAAATTGACAGATGTTGTACTTGCGTATTTATCAATTGCTTTAATGACACGTTATGATGTTGGCTAGGCTGGTTTCGGAGGCGTTGTTCCCAAAGGGGCGGAGAGAACTCCCGCGGAACCAGTGCCACATCAAAAGGCAAAGGGCGGTAACCGTGTGCCGTTTGTGTTAGTACGTAACACAAACAACGGTGATCACTCTTTCTGGTGGGCGGCATTCATTACGAGGTTACAAATCTACAGCTTCTGTCTTCAGTTCCTAAGCTCACTGCTCTCGTTTCAAGAAATCCAATTCTGTCACGAGCCCTGCAGTTGGGAGAGGAGGAAGCAACCGTGACGTACTTCCTGTGAGAGAATTCTATTATTGCTCAGGAAAGCGTCGCTATTCTTCAGTGTTTTACATGTCATGTAAACAGACACTAAACAAAGGCTTGCGTGTAAAATATCATGTAAAGATAATGCGGCGTATTTGCTCAAAGCAAGAACTGTGGATCCAGAGAAACAGCTGTTGCTAGCGTATGGCTCAGAAACAACATTCGTTTATAGTCAACGGCTCGGTAAACACGTTCCCGCTGCAACTGATATGCATGTAACAACAGAGGTACTATTTGAAACGGTGTTTTCTCTTCTGTCCGTGAAAAGGGGTTATAAGGAAGACAATGGGGCAACCGAGTCACTTCTGTGCCGGGGTCTGTGAGGAAACAGTTGGAAGCGAATCGCCGTTCAGAGTGGACTTGAGCAGGTTAAGCTAAAGAAGCTTCACTGTTAGAAGACGTTGCCAGGGAAAAGCTAGTGAAAACATAGCAAGCTGGAAAATATGTAGCGGGTACTGTGGTGATTTGCGAACTATAGAGATTAACGATGTGTAATTACAAATTGTGTGTGTTAACGTGGTCAATAAATTTAATATCGTCTATAGTCAGTCCATACTACGTGGCAATAATAATATTGTAATATTGTCTGATCTGTAGAGCAGAACTCATCTCGAAGAAAGACCTGACTCTCTTGGTTTCTACGCACTTACCGTTGTGTTACGTAGTCGGTGTTGAGAATCTTCTTAATGTTAAAGCAACGGATATGGAGCTACCTTTTTATTATTCTTAAAGTCCATCAGCCAATAGGTGTCGTGAGATTAACGCGAGCGACTGGGGTCTCATGTACGAAACCTTTGCCAACAAGGACAGTTGGTGTGCCGTACTTAAGATTTCTGCAGTGCAGCTTCACGTCACAATGACGAATAAACTAGGAAGACCTCTCCGTTGCAGACATGAAAATACATTTCCTTCAAGGAAGTTAAATCGCTTAAATTTCACTTCTGCACTGCAAGCAACCAGAGAATAACCTCACAGCTAAGGCTTTAGCTATGCAGGTTTATATGACGGTAAGAACAGTTCAGTTGTCGGTTATCTTAGTAACACAACAGGAGCAGTAGACAATTTCAGCCAGGCGTACAGACACGCTCCTAAGCAGTGACACTGTAAAGAGCGGCTCTTGCTAGGTAACGCCTGCAACAATAGAAGAACTGTATTTTCTATGTGGTCCGAGCCGCGACCATTGTCATACAATGGTGCGATAAACATGCCTCTACAACAATAGAGGAGATGTGTTTTCTGCTTGGTCCTTGCCGAGGAATTATCATGAAGTCAGTTGACACCACAGTTCAGTTGTGAAATGTTAACCAGCGGGTAACGGCGTGACCATGGAAGCTGAAGAATGTCCACTATTTAGATTCGTTGCTAGGAAACGTCTAGTGAAAACACTGCAGAGGAATAGCCATTGTTGAGAGCTGTTACCAAGTAACGACTAGTGAAAGCAGACTGGGAAGGCAGCGTGGAGCGATTTGTAGTGCGGAAATCAGCAACAGCATTACAGTTATCTGTAGTTAAGTGGTCAATAAATGTATTCAGCAATCCAATCACTCGAAACCGCGACAGTACAGTAAGCTTAATGTAGGAGATGGAAGGAACAGGGGCTCCTTTGAATAAGTAACTATGCCAGAATTTGGCTGGAAGATTTGGGTTCGTAACGGATAATCCCAATACTATTTCTGGTGAACGCTGTGACTTCATGCCGGTCATGCACTCTAAGCTCTATCCGGTTCATGATTTGTTTAATCCGTCTTGCAGTGCGTACACTTATCTATCTTCTTCTCTCACTCGCACTACACGTTTCGGCATAAAAATGCCATCTTCAGGTGCTACTCAATNCAGCAGACCCAACAGCATAACGCACGCAGTCGCGAGAACAAGACGCAACAGAAACACAATACACACGATAGGGAAGAAGAGCTCCAACAGAGTAGGATGAGCATGACTGGCGTAATAAGATACGACGTAGCGATCGGGAATCCTGAACAGTTTTAATATTTTTACGATTGACATTTGTCAATATATATGATGGACATATATTTTAGTTATTTTAAAGTGAAGACAAGGCATACAATGTACTAGTTTGACGTGAATTGAGTAGCACCTGAAGATGGCATTTTTATGCCGAAACGTGTAGTGCGAGTGAGAGAAGAAGATAGATAAGTGTACGCACTGCAAGACGGATTAAACAAATCATGAACTTAAATCAGTGCAACAGGACGCTAAAATATAACAACTCTATCCGGTTACTAACCAACACATTCATTAACTCTTGGAACCAGATGTTATTGTGAAATTAATATTCGCTCACCTCTTACGGCACCTATATGTTCATCACCGTGTTCACAAGAGGTGGTTAGATTGGAAATTCGTGTTATTTGAACTTTCCCTCTTACTCTTAACTTCACATTTGATCCATTGCAATATATTCAAACATTGGGTACATAATTATCCGTTATCATAATGAATGAAACATGAAGGAAACATCAGGAAATATTAAGCATATTTTCCTAATTGTGGGTTCCATTTGATGGGGAAGTACAATACTCAGAGTTCGTATTTTCATGCAAATTTGTAAACTCGACTCAGAGATTTTAGTCATCAATAAATAATTACCATATGGAAATGGCATCCATTCTACAAAAACTGCATTACAGATTAAGCAAGGAAAAATCAATTTCTGTCTGTCAGAAAATATTGCATAATTATTTATAAATGATCATCAGACATGACGGAACAGACGGGTGACCGAGAACCGTAGCACCAGCCCCTCTACGAATGGTGACCTACTTAATTTAACGCAAGGGGCATTCGCATGGTACTAGCCAGATATTTAAACCATTATATCAGTTCTACCCACAAAGAGACTCCACATGATAGATCACCTTCAAACTGAATATTCACTGCCGTGGCGACCCTTCGGGCTGCTGTGAAAGTTTCATGAGATCACAATGCGAATATCTTGCGTCGCTCTCGCTCAAGGAACTGTGTAAATATCCTTGGAATTACATTTGTATTTACTGCAAACAGAGCCATGTCTGTTCTTTGATATGGATTCGAATGTTGGACATTAAAGAAAGAACAATCGAGAAGAACAGAGAGAGCAGACAGGTTTTCCTCCAAGCGGCCGCAGGATACAGATGACTCCGGACCCTAAACACAATGTAGATAATACAGAAAACGAAGTTGTAACAGGCATCAACACCGAAATGAAATAACAGAGAAAAGGCGCATTTGAAGAGAATACGTGAAAACAGAATTCCAAGGCAGTTCCTTTAGTGACAACTGAAGAGAACCAGTTGCAGCATGTCCACAAACGAACATTCAATGCGCGCGCATCTATTCACCGCCCTACCTCAGCTACTCCGAATTACCAAAAACCATTATTTCTTATATTTATATTTATTAAATTCTACTACTCCTTTTCATTGGATTCTACTTCCCAAGAATTTCTTTCCGTCAGGGAAGNATGGTTTGGGAAGTGCGGAAAGACAGTCTTCGAGGACTGGAATTCTGTTACCGACAGCCATCGACGATACAACGCCCAAAAGGACGATGGATAAATCAAATCATCTTGGGGTTCATAGGGGCAGATCTTTACAACCTCTCTACAAAGTACATATGAACATTAAATCTGACATACTTACATGGGCGTCTGAGTAATAACACGGCGGATACTAAAATGTGACTTGTCGAAGTGGTATTTCGAGGCTTTGTATAAAAATGACGCAATCTTAAGGTGTAGACTGTGACGTTACGTGATACGGACAGACAGACGCAGTTACCAAGGCGTCGGTAGGTCTGCTGCAGCAGTCACTTTCTGTGTGATCCCCCAGTACTGCACACCTGAGTACGTACCACAGACATGAAACAATAGCTTGGAAAAATATTCCTGGTCACCGATGTTCTTTTCTTTTATATACACATAAATCCCATGATTTTCCCTTACTGAACATGCCAAAATCCCTATTTTGTGGTCTTGAGCTCCACTGAAGGGTGGGCGGTTTAATCAATCCCTCCGGAAGAACAGTAATTTATAATAGAAGACTCAAATTCAACATTCATGTTCTTGGATATGTCCAACCAAATATTCATCACGGTGGTAACAGAAATCAAAGGGTCAACATCGCTAATTCGAAATTCCAGAGCTACTCCAAGGCGTCTGATAACATTTCCTTAGGCCGAATGTTATAAATCCTATGTCAAACATCCAAACACGACAACTACCACTTCTAAGCTGTCAGCAATTGTCAATGCGATACCTTCAGAGTTACCATCCATATCCAGGGACCGTCACCTCCAAACGCAACCTCAGGACTTTCATAGAGAAGGAACCCGGTTAACATGGCCTTTGATACAATAGTAGGAATTAAGATAAATACCGGATCAGTGGTACCAACCTGCCGTGGAAAACATAATGAGACGAGACCAGTTTTGTTGGTTCGATCGCACAGCTGTAGAACTGTAAATCAGTGGCGTACAGGGGGTCCCAGCGCTGTAAACTGGGTCAGTCTCATAAGTATGTATACTGGCATGTTGTTAGAAGAAATGCATGTATACAGAGTATGTGTACATGTGCGGTGCTGAAAGTGTCGTTCCTTCTAATGGATGTTTCGCTAGACTC